CCCGGCTGGTGGCCAGGGGCCGCGGGTCCCCACCGCCCGGAGCATGCGGCAGCCCCAGTAGGGCCGGGCACGGTGCTCTGTGCAAAGACTGAGGGCGCATCCCGGGCCTGCCGAGCCCCGGGGCTGCGGGGAGGACTGGGCCCCGCGCCGTGGACTGTGACCCATCGGTCAACCGGGATCCAGCGAATGCAATCCTGAGGGCAAGGACAACGGGTCGAAACTATAGGCACCCTCCAGGACAGCGGTTCCTGCCCTTTGGAGGTTGGTGACCAGCTCTGAGGCCTGGGAACATCAGAGTCTCAACTCCGTGGACGCCTGCAGGGCAGCCCTCATTGGCTCCTCATCTCTGCAGCCGCCCTGTCCTTGCCCAGGGTCTGCACAGCGGTGGGTGGAATCCATGGGTACAAGGTTACAAAGAGGGATAAGGACAGGGCTCGGGTGACGCGAGCTCTTGAGAGTCTGCAGGGTGGATACATGATAGCTTCTGCTTCTCACATCAGCCTCAGCGGAACCCTCTGAGATGTCAGACACAGTGCTGCCCAAGTCACAAGTAAGCCCTCGTGGAGGACATGCCTTGCTTTCTCCTTTTCGATTCCACGCCCACCCCCACCCACCCCCACGTGGACCAACTTGCTATGCCTGGGCCTTTGCTCTCCTGTAAGGCAGACACAAAGGTGTCTTTGAATACCAGAATCACACCCAAAGAAGCCTGAGGATTGAGTAGTGTTGTGGCTCCCATGTCATGTGCTCCGGTGAGTGCCTACTGAGCCAAAGGCTGCCCTATTAAAATGGACATTCTCTGTCTCCCTTTGGGGCCAAGCAGAGAGTGTTAGATTCCTGTTAGTTAACTGTGTGCTTCTTCCATGAAAGAGACCCAAGTTCAACACTGGCTCAATCCACCCCATGCACAGCCACCACCCGGCTCACTAGAGGCTTGCAAGTTGCTGTGCTGCTAAATAGGTTTTAGCAGAGCTTTCAGACTAGGTAGACCAGGAAGAAAGACCCAGAGATCTATTTCTGTAAAATCATCCAATGAAAACAGTATGAGTCCCCACAGTCCAGTCTACAACCTATCACAGGGGTGGTAGGGGACCAACTCAACAATAGTTCATGAGGGACAAGGGAACAACAAGTGATCCAAATTGGTGGGGAGGTGGGTGTGGGA